AGAGAGAGAGAGCAGCCTGAAACTATTCTATTATATTCTGCCTCTATACTCTATTTTATTCTATTCTGTCTCTATGGCTCAGCTCTTCTGGATAGAACTGATGAACTCAATGAAGGAGAAAACTAACATCATGCTTGCAACACACAACTTTGATCATTAATATACTTATTACCTTAATTATAAAAATTTCAAAACTCTTACATTTTGAAAATATAGTAAGAAAAATGTAATTATATATTTTAATTTTTTTGATACATCTGTAAATAAAGTATAGTCAAAGTAAAGCACATGAATATTGTAAAATTTATAATGTTGCAACTACTAGGTAATATGAGAAATTCAGACAAATTTCCCATTCCAACGTATATTGATCGAATTGTACTTGCTCTTTTTAACTATTTATTATAGCACTTTTTATTATATACCATACTTTCTTTTGCTCATTTATAAATTATAATTTTATGATTTTTTTATGCGATTGTTAACGTTTTTTTATAGATATCGTTAACGTAAATAAACAACATTAAATCTTCCTATTAAATTTTGTTTCCGTGCATCGCACGGGTGAGAATCTAGTACCTCCAATATACGGAGTACAATGGTTATCCCTTTAGACCATGGACATGATAATATACTCAATAGTGATCAAACTTCTGTATTCGGTTCAACCGACACACTTTAATCTATTGTCTGGTAATAAATGGGACACCAGTTAATAGTTTTACCACTTTCAATGGAAACATATGATTATCCCGTCTATTCAGTATTACAGGGGATAGACTACCGCCATATGGCCTAAATTGGTATCATGTCATCTTCACTGTTTTGATCACCCTATACCATTATCTATTTATAGTATAGCTTATTGGTACATGCATAATCATTATTAAATATCACACTTAATACGAGTTGAGAATTCTTATGTAAATGGTGACGTATGACCTAATTTTTACGATATTACAGTGGTTTTATCGAATTTTTCGTATACTAATAAATTGGTATACAGTAACCTATAGTACTGTTCACTATTCGTAATACAGTATATTTTAAATAGGGTGTTTTCTTGTTTTACGGGAAAACCATGTACTAGTTGCCAAAATGCGAGAGAAAAATTAGGTTTTCTAAGAATACGAAAAACGTGGGAGAGGAATCCGAAATAAATAGGGATGGGAGGAATACGTACTAAAGAAGGGATTCTGGATTCCATGAATCCAAAAATCGTTTTGTGTTTTTTAAGATTTTACAAATTCGGATTAGATGAATCTGATTCCATCTTTTCTTTATTATTATTTTATTTTAATGGTTCTTTAATCATTTTTAATCTACGTATACATTTAGCCTTTGGATAATATATTTAATATTATTTGTTTTTCAATATTATAAGGATGTTTTTGGGTTGTTTTTAGTCCCATATCAATCAGATTTAAATTTTTATATTTCTTATGATTTTCTTAGGGGATAGGCGAATTAGAGAGCATAAATCTTCTTAAAATTAAAATTACATAACTTGAAAAAGAATTAGAGGAAATCTATATATTGAGTTTCTTTTTTATCAAAAAGAGATTGTTATCATTATTATTGACTAAAAACAAAACCAACATAAATTTCAAATATTTTTTTACCACACTTAGGATGTTTTCTTTTTGACTTTTTTTTTGTCCCAGACTAGACCAAACCAAACCAGATCACATCAAACCTAAACAGATCAGACTAGATTAGATCACACTTCCATAGTTATAAAATACATTGAGATCAGACATTTACCAGATCATACAAGATCGGTTCAGAGCGGACCACACCAGACTCTGACAGACCAAACCAGACCAGAATAACAAATTTCAGTCCAAAAAGAAAACACCCTTAAATTTCAGGGGCGAAAAACATTTTTTATACAAGTACATATACTACCTCCGTCCCGGTGGACTTTGCCAAATGCAAAGTAGGTGAGAAATAAGAATAGTAAAAATTGTGTGGTTGATATTTGTGCAGAGGAGAGAGAAATGTACGGAACCACAAATTAATTGCTTTAATAGGAAAGTGACAAAGTTTTTTGGGACAACAAAAAAGGGAAAATTGACAAAGTCCAATAGGACGGAGGGAGTATAAAATAAAAATAAAATGTACTACTCCCTCCATCCCAATTGAGGGTTCTCACGCGGATTATGATGTTTTACTGACCATAAAGTTAACTGGTCTCTGTCTAGGATTACTTTTAGTAAATAAAATTTATATATTCAGAAACTATCTTAAAAATTTTATAATACCAGATCAAGAAAAATTAAATTTGATAAAAGTTGGATATATAAAGTAAAAGATTAAGAACAATTCACTTTGACCGAAAAATAGTGCACGAGAACCCTTAAATCGGACGAATGGAGTATATATCTTATTTTGAGAGACTAAATGACATAGTTAAACCTTATAATTAAAACTGGTTTTAGGTTATAAATAAGACCCAGTAATACCTACACAATAATAAATCTATTAACATATACTTGTATATTTAATAATGTTCTAAACTTACAAAATCCGATATATTATTATTTACTTATATTATAATAATATTATTATATTATTATTATAACATTGAGGTTCAACCACATGCCAATTCCGAAAGTGGAGAGAGGAAACAAACCCTTCCTCAAAGTCGGACTTCAGAACTCCGACATCCGTGTTTTTGTCATTGAAAAGGCATCTTCGTATTTTGGGAACACGAACGAAAAAGTCCCGTAAATCCGTCTTTCTCTCTTTTAAATACATTGCTAAACCAATATGTTTACCCATCTAATACTTGATTGTTAATAACATATGTTTACTTAATAAATGTAAATTCTCTAATAGTGATACGGTATACCAAGTTACACAATTGAACCAACTCGAGTCACGTAAATCTATAACAATGATATCATAACTTGTTTTGTGATCCGAATTATGATCATTTTGCCTTAAATGATCATAATAGAATTTAGACATATAGACATACATTTTTATATTAACCGTAATTGCATAATTCCCAAATATGGCTAACTAAATGTACCGTCCAAGATTGTCCACCATATCATAAATTATACTATGGTATGGTTATACATGGGTCACGGTTATATAGGAAGTTTTCTTTTGGACTGAAATTTGCTGATCTGGTCTGGTCCGTTCAAGTCCGGTCTGGTCTGGTCTGTTTAAGTCTGGTCTGGTTTGAACTGGTCTGGTATGGTCTGGTAAACGTTTGGTCTCTGTGTATTTTATAACTACGGAAGTCAGGTCTGGTCTGGTCTGGTCTGCTCTGGTCTGGTCTGTTTAAATCTGGTCTGTTTAAGTCTGGTCTGGTCTGGGACTGAAAACAGTCCAAAACAAAACATCCATACTACTGGATATGTGTAATTGGCAAAATAAATGAAGATAACTGTTAGTGGGAGTTGTTTGTCTTATAAGGGTATTTTGCGAGTGTAACTCTATAGGCATTATCACTACTTACATCACCCATTTTAGTGGGTTCCCGATTTATAGATAAAACATACTGTGAAACAAATTTTAAGTATTTACTTAAAATTGATCGCAAATAATAATATGTGAAAATATCGAGTACAATCTCTAAATATGAATCCTCTGATTCTTCACTTGCAATTTGATATGAATATAATTAAAGAATTTAATTTAAAATTAAATCTCTAATTCTTCAAAACTCGAACGTTCTTCGATTCTTCGAATCTTCGTTCTTGAGATCTTCGAATCTTCGAACTTCGTTCTTCGGATCTTCAAATTTTCTTGAATGCAAAATTCAATATTGAAGGGCCTTCGGTTTCAAGTAGCTTGATCTTCAACAAAAGGGCCGTTATGTGGCTTGATCTTCTGTTAAAGGGCTTCCCGGGATATATGGCTTGATCTTCAATTGAATATTGATTCAATCTTCAAATGAATATCTTCAAATCTTCAAAGATTCGTTCTTCATATCTTCGAATCTTCAAAGCTTCGTTCTTCAGATCTTCGAATCTTCAAGCTTCGTTCTTCAGATCTTCGAACGTTCTTCAACTTTTGGCTTTGTTTGATCAAGAATCGATGAAATCACAAAGGATTATTCATATATTCTTGACAAAAACGTGGCTTGATCTCTTCCTCTTCTTCGGAATCCTTCAGAGCCTTTCGGGAGTTCTTCAGAGCTTTGCTGCAGCGTTTCTTCGTCTGGAAGTCCTCCTCTCTTTCTCTCAACTGAGACCCCTATTTATAGGTGTGGAGGAGCTGAAAATATGCTTTAGGGTTTAGCAAATTCGTCCATACCCCTTGGGCCTCAATTAAAATGGGCTTCGGGCTCTATTTGCTTGCATTTTAATGGCTAGAAAAATCAGCACTTATATAATGTATCTGGACAACCTTTTTAACAAGGTTCAGAGCCATTTTCCATGCATACGGACATATTTCTTAACCAGATTCATTGCTCTCTTTATCAATTGTGGTTATGCCTCTTATTCATTGGGCCACTATTTCATATTGGGCTCGGAATAGAAAAATTAATAAGATCGGTCCATTCTCCCAAATTAATTCAATTATTAAATTTTATTCAAATGGACCCATATTAATATTTTTATAGGGCCCAACAACCATTACGAGCAGTCCAGTCGAATCTGAGGATGTCCCAATATCACTTGAAAGAGGCCTAGTAATAAAACACATAATAGTCCGGTAGCATTTTAAATCAGGCCTAATGACAATAACAGCCCGTCATGGCTATCTCGTAAGCCTAATTGATTCATGAAGTAATGGCCTACTAATTTTAGATGTCCACAAATGCCCCCTCGGGACTTACTTGAATATCTTGATCGAGAGAAAAGCAAGTCCCGAAATAAATGGGATCAAATCACATATTGACTTAAAATGAGAAGTAGGCTTAAGATATATTCACCTCTTTAATCGAATAGGCCTGAAGGCCCAAAACTTATTTAGCCAACAACCATAAACCTTTTTAAAGCTTACTAGTATTATTTTGGAAAAATCATCAAAATAATTGTCGTGCATTTGAAGCCAGACCATCAATTCAATTCCTAAAATCATCGAATGCTTCTCATGGCATAGTCATAGTTGAACTCTTCTACCCGCCGAATAAACGTATCCTTAATAGGACTAACTTCTGTATCTAGTCCCACTGCTGCGTTTTATCCGGATCGCCTTCCTTTCAAGAGTTATAAATAGGAGATCAGCTCAATCTGTATCTGCAAAATAGTTACCTAGAGATCCCAAGATTCACCAATTTCTTGGAGTAAGAGATCGGTAGAAGGTAAATTTAGTTTTATTCTAGTTCTTTATCTCTCTTTCTTCTTTGGCATATTGCAGGGGAGATTTGTTGGAACTAGAGTTCAAGATGTTGCTGGCCGGAGTTTTGTTAACGCAGCGGACAGAGGTTTTACAGAGGCAAAGTTGCTGCTGATTTTTTTTTTTATATCCGGAATTTTCCGCTCTTGCCTGGTGCTCTGTCCAAAAAAGGTTTGGTTGATTGCGGACAACACAGAGAACAGGTTGTCGCTCCTCTTATTTGCCGCCGATGTCATAATTGCGGCTGCTGATTCGATGGGTATATGGGAGCTCAATCGGCCAGAATTGCTGCTGGCGTGATTGTTCGAGGTTTGAGGAAGAAAACCGGAGAAACTCTGCTTTCCGAAGATTTCAGTCGCCGCTGCGGTTAAATCCGAGAGAGTCGTCGTCCTAATTTGCCGGAAGGAGGAGAACCCGAGTTCTCGTTTTTCATTGCTGCCAGAGAGGCGAAGACTGAAGCTGGCTAGTTTGTTCAAAGAAGAAGGCAATGAAGGATTCCATTCCATTGCAGGTTATTCAAAGAAGAACATAATGAAGGATTCCATCCATAGCAGGCTTCCCAAAGAAGAAAACAATGAAGGATTCCATCCATAGCAGGCTGCCCAAAGAAGAAAATAATGAAGGATTACATCCATAGCAGGCTGCCTGAAGAAGAAAACAATGAAGGATTCCATCCATAGCAGGCTGCCTGAAGAAGAAAACAATGAAGGATTCCATCCATAGCAGGCTGCCCAAAGAAGAAAACAATGAAGGGTTCCATCCATAGCAGGCTGCCCAAAGAAGAAAACAACGAAGGATTTCATCCATTGCAGACCGTTCAAAAAGAAGAAGACAATGAAGGATTTCATTCCATCGCAGGTTGTTCAAAGAAGATATCAATGAAGGAGCCAGTTCCATTGCAGTTTACTCAAAGAAGATGACAATGAAGGAGCCAGTTCCGTCGCAGGTTACTCAAAGAAGATATTGGTGGTGTCGTTCAAGACTCCAAATACACCATCGCTTTTTCCGTCAGCGCCCCCTGCTCCGTTGTTGGGATGGTGGCGTCGTTGAAGACTCTAAAGTCACCATTTCTTTTGCCATCGGCGCCACTTGCTCCGTTGTTGGGATGGTGGCATCGTTGTGGAGACGCCGTTGGAAACTCAACTTAATCCACTTGTGGTGAGGTGGAGATCTGAGAATTCTCCAAGCCTTTGCCGTTCATCTGACTTTTTTTTCTAAGCCTTCTTCTGATATTCTCTTTGACAAGGCAACTTAGTTGGGGTTTATTTTGTTATAACTGAACTCAAAAATGAAACCTTCTGAGCTGCCTACGTACTCCTATGAAGGAGATCAAGTCAAACGTAGTTCATAAGTACCATTTGAATTGGTAATCTAAAGAGACCGTACACAGTTTTAACTCATGCGGGTCAGGAGTTTGCCGTACACATTTTTAACTCTTGCGGGCCAAGAGCTTGCCGTTCACATTTTAAACTCTCGTGGGCCAAGAGTATCTATGATTATGCTCACCCATAGATAAAGTGAGATGTTTTAGCAGTTTAGCCACTTACAACATCATTGGTGGTTTAAGCCTTTCAACACTTTATTTGACATATATATACCCCAACATCAAGGGTACTGAATCTTCATATTGGTCTTCATATCGACCACGGGTGTGCACAATGGTCACTGGTTTGACTTTAAATGCATTCCTATTGGTCACTTTCACATCTGTTTCTCGCTTCAAACGAGATGGGATAAAACTTCTGTACTCATTAAGACTTTGCTTTTCGAGAGGAACTTTAGCAGATATATTGCGTTCATGTTTCAATGCCAATCGTTCATGAACAGACGTTCTTTTGAAGTTTTGTCCCGTGCATGTGTCTTCAACGTGTTTCATCATCATTGAGCTCGTTCCAAGCCGTTCTTGTAAAGTCATCTTGATAACTTTCTTTGGCTTCGGACCCAATCTATCAAATATGGCGGGCCTTGATCTTGCCCCCCCAATCCGATCAAAGACAGAATACTTCGGTTTAGAAGTCACTTCATCTTCTTCACCAGCACTGATATGATGCGTTGCGGCTCTATTTATGAGGATCCTTATGGGTTTCGGCTGAACATAACTCAATCCTGTGTGCCCTCGAAGATTGATCTGCTTCGGTATCCCTTCACCACCAGCTTCCGGAATGAGTTTTCCCAACCTCTGTTCGTTGGGATTATTCCCAGCCTTGGCCAGAAGTTTGTATGCGTTTGGGTCAAATCCTTCATTTGTGCGTGCCTTAGGGAGATGAAATGTCTTAACATCATTATCGTTTTTCACTTCCTTCTCGGACGTGTTTTGAGGAGGCCTTAATATCTCAATCTTTGGAAGAGGGAATGTAAGCCCTTCTACGCCTTCAACAAGCTTCTCTTTCAGCTTTGGTTCAATCAAGGGGCGATATTCTTCCTCTTGTCTAGCATTGTCATATTTAGAAACTTTGGCCTTTAGGTAAAACTTCGCATCTGCAAAGTATGTCTCGGTTTCTGTGAATGGAGTTTCATCGGCCGCTACCTTCTTTACAACACCATTTTGCTCATACATGAAGCATTGGTGCCATGTTGAAGGAATTACACCGTTCTCATGGATCCATGGGCGGCCCAGAAGAAGATTATATGAAGCCTTTGCGTCAATGACATGGCACAGAGTGCTTGCCTTCAGCTCGCCAATGACCAAATCAAGACGTATCATTCCAATTGCCCGTTGCCCCCCTTGATTGAAGCCTTGAATCATCAAGCGGCTTTGGGAGAGTTCATCCATTGATATATCAAGGTCTTTCATAGCTCGAACCGTCAGAATGTTAACGGCAGACCCTTGATCAATCATAATTCTTTTGAATCTTTGTCCACGAGTGTATCCTTCGACAAAGAGTGGACGATTATGAGGGGTTGCGCCCAACATGAGATCTTCATCTTTAAAGACAATATCAGTGGCATAAGAGGTTGATTTGCGCGCTTTTGTTTCTTGTTGCTCAACCAAAGATCGAGATGCACATATGTGTGAACTTTCAATCTCTTTTTCATGAGTGCTAAGGCAAGAACTTGAAAATTGATTTATCTTGTTCTTGAAATTCTTTGGCATGTAATCATCTAGAGTAACTGGCCTTCGCACAATCTTGGAACAAACATTAATCTTTCTTTCCTTCTTTAGCTTGAGTTTATTTTCCTTCCTTTTCTTGATCCATTTCTTCACTTCCTTCACTGGGGACGAGATCAACTTGTGCCTCTTAATTTGTTTATCTCGAGCTACTAAGATCCATGGACCTTCTTTGCCATTATTTTCTTCATCTCTCACACTTTTATTGAAAGGAGAGTCATTTCCCATCTGTTTGACAGTAAAAGGAAGTCTTCGATTGTGAGAGCTCTTGCTCTCTTCTTTTGAGTCATCTTTGACTATGAGTGGAGAAAACTTACCAAAAGTGATGGCAATTTGGTTTGTGCTTGCAGCGGAATCAGCGAGCTCAATCTTTCCTTCACGAGCGAGAGCCATAACTTTATCTTTAAGCACCCAACACTTCTCGGTGGGGTGACTTAGAATTCGATGATACTTGCAGTAGTTGGGGTCATCAACCTTTGTAGCTTCCTCGGGTCGTTTGGACTCGGGCAAATCAATAAGCCTCAATCTCATCAGCTCCTCAAACATGGGAGGAACGTCAGAGTCTAAGAAAGGGTACTTCTTTTCCAACATCTCTTCTAGAAATGATTTAACACGTTTTGACGCCTCCAAGTCGACCCTAGGAACTTGCTTCGAATTTCGAGTGAAGATCTTAACAGGTGCAGTCTTCGCGACCATTGCTTCTTTCGTTTCAAACTTAGAAAAGGGCTTGCCCCCATTCTTGGTATCTTGTTTTTCAACAACATCGTTGATGGGACATATACCCATGGTTTTCCTTCTACTGCTTGCAATGCTTAGTTCCATGTTACGAGCTTTGCTTGCTAGCTCGTCAAAAGTATTTGGATTCACTCCTTTGAGAATGTAGCACAACTCCCAATGCATTCCTCCTATGCACATATCGATGGCAGAGCTTGTAGAGATCTGATCTTTACAGCTGAGGGCAAGATCTCTCCAGCGCTCGATGTAGGTTATCACGGGCTCATCTTTCCACTGGCGAGTAATTGTTAACTCAAGCAAGCTCACCACCCTCCTTGTGCTGTAGAAACGGTTTAAGAACTCACGTTCCATATCTTGCCAGCTATCAATGGAACCAGGCTCCAGGTCAGTATACCAGTCAAAAGCGTTTGCTTTCAGGGAACGTACGAACTGTTTGACCAGATGGTCTCCGCTTGTTCCCGCGTTATTGCAGGTTTCCACGAAATGGGCAACATGTTGCCTTGGGTTTCCCTTCCCATCAAACTGGATGAACTTCGGTGGCTGGTAACCAATGGGCATCTTTAGATCCTCGATCCTTTGAGTGTATGGCTTAACATAGGAGTAAGTAGATTTGTTTCCTTCTATCTTCCCCTTTATGGTTCCCATAATGAAGTCTTTAAGTTGATCAATCGGGATCATGCCCCCGGAGGTTGAGATATCCTTGCCCGAATCCTCTTGATGAGGATCATTCTCTTCATTTACTTCGGGGTCCTTCTCATGATTATGACTTGACTCGCCTTTCAAGCTCTCTACTTTGTTGTTCAGCTCATTCAACTTTCGGTCTTGATTCTGCATGAACGTACTCATCCCTTCGATGACCCTAGTTAGATGAGCGATTTGTTCTTCCATCGTCATGGCGCTCGTTGTCATGGTGGGCATCACAGTATAGACATTTGACCACTGCGGAGTAGTCCTTCTTGGAGGAGTTGACGGGGGAGTAGAGTCTGATCCAGATGATGAGCTCTCACCACCGCTTGTCCACTTCGGGGAAGTAACTTCACGTATGGGTGAAGAAAACTTTCGGGCCATCTCTTGCGCAATTCGAGATCCATCCATTGCACCGAGAGTAGTTTCCGAGGATGACTGCGTAGCCAGGATTCTTGATCGGCTCCTAGTGATAGGGCCTTGCATGTTTTGATTTGAGCTTGACGATGCTCGAGAATTCAAAGTGAACACGGGCTTGCTTGATGCCATTGGTTCGTTTTCCTTGATCAAAAGTGAAGAGATGAGAGGTAGAGTTGTCCCACCGGGCGTGCCAAAAATTTGTGAAACAAATTTTAAGTATTTACTTAAAATTGATCGCAAATAATAATATGTGAAAATATCGAGTACAATCTCTAAATATGAATCCTCTGATTCTTCACTTGCAATTTGATATGAATATAATTAAAGAATTTAATTTAAAATTAAATCTCTAATTCTTCAAAACTCGAACGTTCTTCGATTCTTCGAATCTTCGTTCTTGAGATCTTCGAATCTTCGAACTTCGTTCTTCGGATCTTCAAATTTTCTTGAATGCAAAATTCAATATTGAAGGGCCTTCGGTTTCAAGTAGCTTGATCTTCAACAAAAGGGCCGTTATGTGGCTTGATCTTCTGTTAAAGGGCTTCCCGGGATATATGGCTTGATCTTCAATTGAATATTGATTCAATCTTCAAATGAATATCTTCAAATCTTCAAAGATTCGTTCTTCATATCTTCGAATCTTCAAAGCTTCGTTCTTCAGATCTTCGAATCTTCAAGCTTCGTTCTTCAGATCTTCGAACGTTCTTCAACTTTTGGCTTTGTTTGATCAAGAATCGATGAAATCACAAAGGATTATTCATATATTCTTGACAAAAACGTGGCTTGATCTCTTCCTCTTCTTCGGAATCCTTCAGAGCCTTTCGGGAGTTCTTCAGAGCTTTGCTGCAGCGTTTCTTCGTCTGGAAGTCCTCCTCTCTTTCTCTCAACTGAGACCCCTATTTATAGGTGTGGAGGAGCTGAAAATATGCTTTAGGGTTTAGCAAATTCGTCCATACCCCTTGGGCCTCAATTAAAATGGGCTTCGGGCTCTATTTGCTTGCATTTTAATGGCTAGAAAAATCAGCACTTATATAATGTATCTGGACAACCTTTTTAACAAGGTTCAGAGCCATTTTCCATGCATACGGACATATTTCTTAACCAGATTCATTGCTCTCTTTATCAATTGTGGTTATGCCTCTTATTCATTGGGCCACTATTTCATATTGGGCTCGGAATAGAAAAATTAATAAGATCGGTCCATTCTCCCAAATTAATTCAATTATTAAATTTTATTCAAATGGACCCATATTAATATTTTTATAGGGCCCAACAACCATTACGAGCAGTCCAGTCGAATCTGAGGATGTCCCAATATCACTTGAAAGAGGCCTAGTAAAACACATAATAGTCCGGTAGCATTTTAAATCAGGCCTAATGACAATAACAGCCCGTCATGGCTATCTCGTAAGCCTAATTGATTCATGAAGTAATGGCCTACTAATTTTAGATGTCCACACATACACTATAGAGTGTATCACTATTTCAAATCAATCATTGTGATACGATTGATTAATCAAATAGTAAATGGTACTACGTATCCATTTCAAAGGTAGTTGATTATGAACAATCTCTGTAAATACGAACTTATAATCGACATTGTTATACGTAATGTGAAACTACCTCCGTTCTCTTTTAGTTGCAACATTGGACTTTTTACACTATTCACATATTCTACTTTGACTACATTTTATTAATTGATGTATAATAAATTAAATTTTTAAAAAATATTGTTAAATTGTTCTCATTCTAAATTTTCAAAATATGAATTTTTTAAATTTTTTACTAATAAGGACTGAAAGATATTAATGGTCAAACTTGCGCATTGGCAAACGTGAAATGTTGACTGTTGCAATTAAAAAGAAACGGAGAAAGTACAACACTGTTGTCGACTCATAATGATTTAAACCTAAAATTGTTAATACAGATATAACAGGCTGAATCAGCCTCGTCCGTTCTGTTGAGCGCAATGAAAACATATATTCCCTAATATGTCGTGGAATAGTATGATAACAACTAGGTGATTAAACCCAACTCTATAATCATAACCCCAATTATACGATTACTGTCTGAATAAATCTATCCTCTTACGGAATTATGTCGATAACCGTATTCCCTAGCAACCGGATTCAAGTCTTAACAGGGGTGGTACACCCGACATAGTTATTATACAGCTCACAATATTATTACCATGAACCTATAAGACCAGTATACATATGTATCCATTTCTAAGCTTGTAACACCCTAATATGGATAATACTTAAGGCCAAACGTATAACGACATGTCTCATCTATTTTATTACAAGATTATTTGTATAATGTCAATTTCCCATTGATATCCATAAGTCATTTTCACTAATGACTTAGGTATGTAGCAATCGGGTAACCACCTATTTACATACTACTATTGGTCATCCAATTATAAACTCAGTTATTTAGTAAAATTCTCGTATTATGTTTGTATTTCACAATGATTCTATATTACATGTTAAAAATAATGGTTTAGCCTATTTTAAAATCTGACATATTTTACTAATGGATACCAAACAAGATAATCACGAGTATTATAGTTAACCAATACCCAATTGATTACCCAACTGTTTATATTATGTCTACTGGTGAATAACCCATGTTATATTTACGGTCAATTGTGTCTTAAATATCGGACAATATTAAAGAAGAGAGAATTCCCACTTTAAGAGTAAAACATATCAATAATGCAAAAATAGGAGTCCTACCTCCACCATTAGTTTGACACACTGAAATATATAGTAAGAGACCATAAACCCTTAATGAAAAATTAAAGTTGATTTCTTTATTGACAATTAAAACAGTCTCTAGCTCCAGCCCACGACACATGCCTAGCTCGCACAACACAATCGACATCTCCAGTGCCACTAGCGCCGCCACCATCTCCGGCGCCGACGTCGGCGCATTTGTGAAGCCGCCGCTGCCACCATCTCCGCTGCCACAACCGGCATCGCCGCTCATCACCGCCATCTCATCCGATGTGACCACCACCTAATCCAACACCGTACTCCCTCATCATAGCAACCAGCGCCCTCTACAACACTACTGCGGCCTCATGTAGAGCAACCACTTCAGATCTCAGTCCAGATCTGTAATTTGGAAAAATCATCAGAACAATTGCCATCTTATCATTTTATTGTCATCTTAGTGCCATCCTTATAAAAGTACAAAAGATGGACTATATTGCCATCTTGACGTAATATTGCCATATTTTGTTTGAAAATATGGCAATACTATTGTTAGTTGTATTCCCAGAAGAGTAATATTGCCATATTGATGTAAAAGTAATATTGCCATCTTTTGATTGAGAAGATGACAATACTAATGTTAATTGTATTTCCAGAAAAGTAGTATTGCCATTTTGGTAAAGTTAATCTTCAAAATATAGTATTTACTAGAAAAACAAAATTGTAATTTTGTAAAATTCCAATGTAAAAGTAATCATAAATTAACTAAATAATATTGAAACTAAATAAAAAATGGTTGGAATACAATAAAAAAATTAAAGTAAAAATAAAAGAGGGAAATTGATGGATAACAAAAACAGATCTGGAAGAATGAGAAGAGGAAGAGGAAGAAGGAGAAGAAGCAGAAAGAGAAGAAGGAGAAGGAGAAGAAACCGGTACTTACCTATATCCTTTAATTAGGCCGCCCTCCGCCGCACCGCCGCCCTACACCCTATGCCCTTCACCGCCGCACCGCCGCCACACCGCCGCCTTACATCCTTCACCGCCGCCCTACTCCATATTAGAATCTGGAGAAATAAAATTTAACAGATGCAGGGGATAAAGAGAAGAGATTGATGTTACTGGAGAAAATAAAGAAGAGAGGAGAATGAGGGGTTAGGATGATGAAGGTGCGCAGAGAAGATAAGATAGAGGAGAGAGAGTAACTCTTAATTAGAATAATATAATGAAGGGTATAATTGTAAGGATCGATAAAAATGAAACGGCTCAGCAACTAACTAACTCCTATTTAGGGAATAATCAATTAAGACTCCTATTTTGGAATTTTCCTATTGTTTTAGTC